AGGGGAAGGAAGAAATAAATTATGCAGACAGAATCTAACCTAGGTTTATAGCTTATGAGAGAAGAGTCACGTCTTTATCTGCTTTTAATAAGTCTGATAAGGGGCAGATGTGATGTCTCAACAGACTAATGCTCACCCTTCAAGCACCAGAATCACAAATGGGGGCTGGTTCTTGTCCTGGCTGCATCAGTTCCCATCGAGCTCCCTGCATATGGCCTGGGAAGGTAGTGGAAGATGGTCCAACTTTTTGGGACCCTACATCTAGGTGAAGACCCAGAAGAGGCTCCTGGCTTTGGATTGGCTCAGCTCCGGCCTTGCGGCCACTTGGGGAATGAACCAGCAGATAAAAGATCTTTCCCTCTCGGTCTCTCCTCTCTGTAAATCTGCTTTTCCAATAAAAATAAAATTTTTAAAAATTTTAAATGAAGTTGTTAACATAAAACACAGACCAGATTAAAATGAGGTCAATTGATGGCAAGAACAAAGGGTGCAAGGAGAGAATGAACACAAGAAGACACATAGAGGCAGAATTGTTTTTTTAGGGAGAATCTTATATATCACTGAGTCCAAGCTTGGTGATTCCAGAGGGATCTGAGATCAGAGAAGCAGATAATTTGCCCAACACTAGAAAAGTAGGTAGTTGCAGAGAGGGAACTGGAGCTCGGGCTCCCCAGCACAGTCTTTCAGAGAGAAATACAGACACAAGGATGATGGAAAGAGGAACTGAATTCCAAGACCCTTTTCTGTTGCATTCAATTCACGTGTTCCTTTTAAGTACCAGGGCTGAATGATACTTCTCCTCCCAGTATGTTCTTTTGTGCCAACAACTTGAAATGATCTCTGTGGCATTTGGGAAGAAATCTACTTAATTATGGAATTGTGGCATTAAGATGTATTTTCTTGTAGAATTCCAAAGATTTGGTATGTGTATAAAAGAGGGCTTCATGTTTCAGATTCTTAATTTTTCATTTCAAAGGCATTGACCAGCTAATTTTCTGTCTTAGAAAATTATACTAATAGTCTTTGCCAACCAATTCTCTTGGTTCTATTCTTGGGAAGATTAGTATTGTTCAGCATTTCAATGCCTGAAAAATTGTGATTTAAAACACACACACACACACACACACACACACATACACACACAATTTCATTGCTCAATTTTTTTCCAGAATGGAAATAAACTCAGGATGGGTGAATATATGTGTAACCGATTCCCATTACAGATTATTATACAAATACCACTTTTAAACTCTACAGGGATAAAAATAGGTAAATTGGGACTATGTGCTTAGCCTAACAATTAACACACTACTATGATGCCCGTGGACCATATCTGAGTTCCTGAGTTTGACTCCTGGCTTCAGTCTTCACTCTAGTTTCTGCTAACAGAGTTCCTGCGAAGCAGTGTGATAATGATTCTAGTAACTAGGTCTTTGCCATCAGGTGAGAAACCTGGATTATGTTCCCCAATTCCTAGCTTCAGCCCAGCACAACCAAACTGCTACCAATGTAAAAAGCTGTCCAGAAATTCTTAAATAAGTCAGTTTGTCTCATAAGACAAATGACAAAGTCATGAGACTGAAACTTAATACTTTCTGAGATAAAAATTAGTTAACATAGCTAAAGCCAACAGTCATATTTTAGTGTTTCAGAGGGGTTAGAGAATGGTGTGAAAAAATGATTCCTTCACCTATACTATGCACAGCTATACACACAGGGGATAAAACTAGATTAAGTTCTTGACACAGCCAACAATACAAAATTTGTGAGGTGGCTTCCATGTCTGGAGCTGGTATGGAATAGCTCAGTCGAGCCTCCCTTGGAGGCTGAGTTTCTACTGGCATTAGCCAGTCAAGAAAAGTCGTTGCCGCAACTGCAAATTCAAATCTTGATACACTTTTATAATCAATCATTATATTCAGCAAGAACTTGCACCAATGATGCATCAATTCCTGCCAATGGGGCCATTTCCAAACCCCAGACATTTCTTAAACTCTTTCCGTGCTCAGCATCACCAAAAGAAAGCAGCAGAGTTGGGCTTAGGCCCCACCAGTAGTTCTATCCCTGAAAGTCCATTCTCCTATCTATCCCTTCTTATCACTGTTCTTGGGGCTGTTTTAGGAGTAAGTTCTGTTTGTATAAAATTAGAAAAAATGCAAATGAGCTTGTAAGTAAGTTCTTAAAGGTTCAAATACAAGAGGTAGAAACTCTATTCAGTGTTTCTGGATGGACTTTTGCATCCTTCCAAGAACTCTCGCTGCTGATGGTGATAACTGTACTGTTCATGCTTATTTTATTTTCAACTCCCAACTTTTGTTTCCCTTAGTAATGGCGGAGCACCACACTGCTCATATCAGCAGAATCAATATTTTTCTCATAAACTGGGGGCACACAGGAAAGTGGAATATTTTCCAGGGTACATTGAACAGGAATCAGAAAAAGGAGAAAGGGGATAGGGCTAAACACAGTGAGGAAGGGTTGCTCTGAGCTGCAGGAGGAAGTGATGGTCATGATGTGATTAAGCATCTGTGCAGCACTTATCACACTAGTAAAATGTTTTCTCTTTTAATGTGTCAATTAATGATTTAGTTAACTAGCTAGTAACTAAATTTAGTTAAATTTTGTCTTGAATTTAAGGTAGAAAAAAAGATTTGAATAATGGGCATGAACTTCATGAGAGAAAGATTGTGAGAAGGATATTATTGTCTCACATCAGTTACCAACGTTATCAGAAGCTATGGATTCAGGGTAGGCTCCACTGGACACTTGTGATTTGAAGTCCCTATGATTCCCTGTTCCTGTTTTTAAAAGGATGGTTGACCTCATTTACAGAGGTCATAGACCTCTTCTGAGTATATGAAGAAAACTGTGGAACAATATATGTAACACCAAGTTTAACAAAAAGGAAGAGTCAGATCCCAAATGGGTCAGGTAAGATAATCCAGGTTAAGCTGCAGTAAGAAAATGACTTAGAGGCTGTAAAAGCCGAGATTTGCTCTTGCTCGTGATGCATTTTCATCATGGATGGCTGGCAGTCCTGCTCCAGGATTTCTCAATCAGGAATCCAAGCTGATACATCCTGCATACCATCTGGGGCATCACTCATTGCTGGGTTCCTAAGGGAAAGGCAATATGGCAGCTTGCATTCCAGCTCCTAAGGCTTCCAATTGGAAAGGACACACACAATTTCTATTTATATTTCATTGCCAGAGAAACCATGTTGTGCAATCCTTTGTATGGTTGAAACAAAATATTCAAATTCAGTTCACAAATGAAAACACAAGTTCAGAAACCCATGAACTGTATGATCTCTAAATTCATTTGCAATTCAAGGTTGCTGTGAATCCAAACCAACCTACTTACTCAGAGGTTAGCCAAGAAGTCTATCTACTTAAACGATAGCTACCAACTCCTCTTTCATCAGGTGGTTATCTTAGAAATCAGAACAAGAATGAGTCTTAATAGTTATGAATAGAAGCTTTTGGTCTGTTGCTTCAGCTTTCAATGAGTTTAAGATCTGAGCACTAGAGATTGGCTATGAGAGAGAAGATTTGGTTCCCCACTGTTTATGTTATCTCAACAGTTTATGTATAATGTGATTGGAGCAGACAGTTAATATCCCTTTCAATACTGAGATTTGGTGATCTAATAAAATGCTTACTGTCATTAAATGCCAGATGACTATTTTAGGATGGCCCAGCCAAGTATATCTTAGGTAAAGGAGAACTAGGAAAGTAGTTGTGAGGGGGTATTAGCTAGAGAATAATAACAAATTCAACAGAGAAGTAGAGCTGTTTAAGCATCATCAGATGCTAACCATATCACTCTAGCTGCAAGGGAACTGTGTGTCTTCATAAATTCCACCAGCTCCTTTTCCTTAGTCATACATCTCAAACATTTTCTCAGTACTCTGTAAAGTGCTATTCAACCACCTCTTTCTAGACAGAGTGCCTCCCTTCATGCCTCCTTTGCAGAAAGTCTGTGCTATCATTCACCAACTGCTGTCACTGTGGAAACTGAAGCCAAGAGAGGGGCTGTAACTTGCTCAATGCAAAGGCCAGCTGGACATAGGATGAGCCATCCATTTCTTTGAGAACCATGAGTAAATTCCAAGTGCCTAGTTTCCTTTGACAAGTTTGGTGCCTAATTTTGATTCAGATATGGCCCAAGAAAACTGGCATTTGTGGAATATTTACTTTGAAGTATTATCATGTGTTGCTCAATGATTGAGATACATTTGAGGAGATCCATCATTTTATCCTTTTCTCAATGTGTGAGCATCATAAAGTGTGCTTACAGAAATCTAGATGGTATAGGTCAATCATCCAACATTGCAATCAAGACATGTGACATACAAGAGATACAAGAGAGAGTACATTTTCCCCCCCCAAGGCAGGAGGAGAGAGTACATTCTAAAATAACAGTAGAAAGAGTATAGTATAGTAAATACTACAAAGACTATGCCAGAAGCATAGTCTTCTATTATCAAATATTATGTGCTATACTTTCAAATGATTGGTAACAGGTTTATTTACATCAGCATCACCACAAACATGAGTAATGCATTATATTAGATTGTTAAGATGGCTGCACCATCTCTAGAAGAATGGAAGTTTTCAGCTCTGTTCTAACCTTCTGAGACCACCATTATACACGTGGTCCATCTTTGACAGACATATAGTTGCATGGTAAACAACAACTCTCCTTTCCCTTTTGTTTTTCTTCATTTGAGAATCTAGCCTCTGTAACAGAACAAAGAAAGGCTATGCTAAATCAAATCTCTCCCTGCTGGAGAAGGTTTATGGATTCACATCTGAAAGTTATTCACTTAATGTTACCTCAGCTTGGCACAGTCAATCTAAATATGAACTGGAGGTACTTTTCTAATCATTTCTACCTTTTCTGCTTTTCCCTCCAGTGAAGAGTATGATAATATCTTTTGGCAAACATTTTACAGAGTGGAACCTCCTGCTTAATGATCTCATTTTTCCCTTCTGCAGTTCCTTATCAGCAGAATCCTTACAATCCACGGGGCAGCTCCAATGTCATCCAGTGCTACCGATGTGGAGATACCTGCAAAGGGGAAGTGGTTCGCGTCCACAATAACCACTTCCACATCCAATGCTTCACCTGTCAAGGTAGGAGACTCCATTTCCCATCTCCCAGCTCAGATTCCAGGCTATACTCTCACCACTAGAATATGCCTCAAATACTGGCAATTGAGACAGCTATAAATTTCCAAAGAGGCTTTCCTTAAGCTGTGAAAATTCTCTTGTAAGAAGTGTGCAGCAAAAAGCAGAGTGAGAAACGTTTTTGAGAAGTGGGGGAGTGTGGGTGCCTACTGACCATGGAGGAGTAAGTGCTGTCCTAGAAGGAAAAAGGCAATCCTGCAAGTTTACCACACATGTAAGACCCATAAATCTACTGAGAGTGAGTGAAAGCACTAACTACCTTGGTGAAAATTCAGCATGACTCTGAGACGAGCACCTCTTCTATGGCTGTGTGACAATGCTCAAGGTTAAGTTTAACAGGGGAGAGGATAACTTGCCTTCAGTAAATTGTTTAACAGGGGAGCAGCTGAATGCTGGGTTGCCTCTCAAACTGTTACAGCTTGCTCAAGGCTAAATGATAGAATCCTAGATTCTAACAGTTCCTTTAAAAAAAATTAGTAGCAACAGGAAGGGAGAGGAACTCAGATGAAAGTATGCAGAGATAGCTCTAGCTCAAACGGCAACACTTTCTTCCACATCATCCTAGCAAATGCCTCTCTACCTTCACTTCTTGGTCTCTTCTTCCAGGCTCCTCTGCAGCAGCCATTCTGAGATTGCAGTGCTCTCTGGGTTTGACCCCAAACCTCCAACTTCTACCCACTGGTCCTAGATTTGTCCTCATAAACTCTGAACAAAACCCAGTGTTCAAAAGTTTTTGGAAAATGGAATTAAGAGATAAGTGTATTTTCCTGCAAAATATCTTCAAATCCAGGCATACTTACATGTATATTATGATAAACTACAACTATGCATAGGTTTAACCATGCGTCAAAAATAAATTCATATTTTAATTCCATTTTCCATTAACTCTTGGAAGTATTCTTCTTGTTCAATTCTTTTAATGTGACTGATACTGAGTTGATTTCCTAAGAAGCCATTTCACATTATTGACTTCCAGTAAGTCAATTGAAATCCCCATATATTTTCATGTCAGTAACTGCCTCAGTCTTGTGTATCTGAGATTGATTCCCCCTGCCAGTGAGAAAAATCTTTTTTTTTTCTCATGATATAATTGGACTCTTCATTAGACAAATAAATAACATGTTCCTATCCCTCTTAAAAGCATGCACTGTATATATTTTAAACAGTTTCAATTTTATACTGAGAATTGGAAAATCCCTTTAATATAAATTGAACTACAAGAATATCTTGGTGACCATTTTCACATCATCAGAAATTGAGGCAGAACGAAGGACAAAGACAATAAAATTGTGTGAGGTTTTCGATGTGACAGTATTCTTGAGAAAGTCAATCAGTTACCTCTTGCATGTACCAAAACTTAACATTTGACCTGGGTGCCTCCACAAGTCTCCTTGTCCTCCAGCTTGCTGGGCTGGGTTCCTTAAGGAGATGATCTTAGAGGTCCAAGGGCAACAAGAGAGCTAGCACCCAGTAATCAAAAGCTTTCTAAGCTTCAACTTGTGCCACACCTGGAAATGTGCTGCTGTTGGACATGACAAGTCAAATGGCCAACCAGATTCAAGATCATGAAAAAATAAACTTTGAGAATCGATTGCAGCATTACATTTCAGGAGTGTGAATACAGAGAAGTTACTAATTTTATCACTTTGACAATATCCCATGAGGAGGTTCTAGAATCTCTCTCAGTGGAGATTTTAGGCAGGGTAGGGAATACACCAATATTGTTTCTGTATATTGCCTATGTCAGGGTTTTTCTTTCTAACAGTAACCAGTATGGATTTTAGATACCATAAATAGCCTTCTTTAAAAGAAAAACTCCTTAGAAAGAATCTAAAGTTTCTTTTACAACTCTTTTATCATGCACCACTGTGCTGACATGAAAGGAAGGAATCTAAAGAAGTCAAAAGCAGAAATCCTGCTGACTACCAATGCCAAATTTCATCTCAATAACTCCTGCTCAACCCTGGAGACCTTGAGATTTTACCTTGATTCTTAAATGAATCCTGAAGAACAAGAGACAAAGCCTACAGGCTGGCCAAAGGGAGGAATGTAAACATCTGTAGAAAGCTGAAGTTTCTCCCTGAAAAAAAATCTAACTCTTCCTATAAAATGGGTTAGAAATAAAATGGCTTTGGAGAAGAAAACTTGCTTGTCCCAACACTGGCACTGGGTATAAGTAATAAAACTTGTAGTGGAATGTCTTTCTGTAATCCACTCTTTATGGACTGTGTTCATGTTACCTATTGGGAATAAATTTTTTTAAATCGGGGAGTTAAAAAGAAAGTGGTCCAAAATGTAGTATATGACAGAAGCAATGATAACCCTCTTTGTAGGAATTCAACTTTACTCCAGACCTCAGAGAATTCCTACAGAATATGTTGTTAAGAAAATGAGTAGTTTATGGTAAAAAAAAAAAAAAAGAAAGAAAGAAACATAAAAATCATAAGGGAAGGCAAACCAGCAGAATCAATGGAGGGCAGAATCAGAACCTCAAAGACTTTGTGTATTGGGATCTTCTGTCATCAATATCAGTGCAATTAAACAAGTAAGGGAAGCTAGAAAATATAAGCAAGAAACACAATAGCTCCTTATACAGAGGATAGTAAAATCTTTGAAAAACCAAACAAAGAATAAATATGTATAATTTAAAACTTAATGCATAAATTAAATAAATCAGATGTTGCTTAAGACAGAATTATTAAACTAAAAAGGAGTTACACAGACATGCCTCAGAATACACAAAGGGAGTAAAAATAGAAGAGAAATTGACACATAGAGATTATAATGAGAAAGATTGAAATATAGGAAACCAGCATGATGAAAACATGAAATGATAGGACAATATCTGAGGAGATCACAACTGTGAGTTTTCTACAACTACTGAAAGACACACATCTTTGAGTCCAAGAAACATAATAAATTCCTGCAGGAAAATATAAGAGAAACCAGAGTGAAATGTCAAATCATCAAAGGCAAAGAGACAATGTTTTTCAGAATTTTTGAGATGCTGACAGACTGACAGAGCTTCCATTGCTGATTGACTCCTCAACTGTTTGTAACAGCTCAAGTCGGACCAGAATGAAGACAGAAGCCAGGATCTCAATCCTGATCTCCCATGTGGGTAGCAGGGATTGAGTTACTTATACCATCAGTATTGTCTCTCAGAGTATGCATCAGCAGGAAGCTGGAATCAAGAGCCAAGCCAGGTCTCAAACCTAGGTTCTGTTATATGTGATGCAGGCATATCAACTGGTGTCTCAACTGCCAAGACAAATGACCACCAGAGAGAATCTTAAAAGTAGCCAGAGAAAAAAATAGGTCATCTGCATGGGATGAAATAAATGCACAGCTGCCTTTTTAATTAGCAAGAAGGAAATCAGAAAACAATGCAATTGTCTTTAATGTACTGAAAGAAATAAGTAACTATTCTGGTAGGCTTATGTTTTCAGCAAAACTATCTATGACAAGAGTAAATCCATAGGTAAGTTTTATACTTAAAAACATTTTAAAATATTTATTTATTTTCATTTGAAAGGCAGATTTTACAGAGAGCTGAGAAACAGAGAGAAAGAGAGGTCTTTCATCGTCTGGTTATCTCTCTAGATGGCTATAAGGGCCAGAGCTGAGCTGATCTGAAGCTGGGAGCCAGGAGCTTCTTCCTGGTCTCTCACATGGACCAAGGCCATCCTCCACTTATTTCCCAGGCCATAAGCAGAGAGCTGGATCAGAAGCAGAGCAGGCGGAACATAAACCAGTGGAAATAGGGTATCAGCACTAGCAGATGGAATATTAGCCCGTTACCCCATTGCACAGTCCCACAACCACACTTTTTTTTAATTTTCAATTTACTTAATTTTTTTTATTTTGAATTTTGAATTATGTGGTACAATTTTGTGTAGGCTGGGATTCCCCCCCAAACTCCCAACCCCTGACAGATTTTCCCCATTTTACTATAATGGTGTAGTCCTTCATAAGGAATCATAATTCTATCAGTCTCTTGCTTAAGTGTACCCTGATATTGTTGGTACAGACAATGTCAGATAGTCCAGCCCCATTGTTTAGGTATGTCCAACAGTTTCATTGGAAATCCATCTTTCGTCTGGAAGCAGGGATGCATGTTCCATTATACCCCATATCTGTATATGATAGACCCAGTACTCCATCAATATACATTTCCATAATTGAGAAGCCGTGAAACAAGGCCAACAACTAGTATGAGTTAGAACAGCCACAACAACAACATCAACAACAAATTATAGCACCATGAAAAAGCACGCCACTGAGTAACCAACACATGAGTGACAAAAAGGAAACACCAAAAGTCTCTTGGGAAAAATGATGCCACCGTATAATCAATGAGTCAGTGATGAATTTGACAAGAGAAAAGAAAATATTTGGAATAAACAAAACTGAAATAAAAAAACATCAAAACCCATGGGATACAGCCAAAACAAACAAACAAACAAAAAACAGTTACACTTTCCATGCTGGTTTCCTTATATAAGAGAGAATATACGGTATTTGTTCTTTTGTGATTGACTCATTTCACTGAGCATGATGGTCTCTAGTTGGGACAACCTAGTTGTAAATAGTATAATTTCATTCTTCTTAATAGCTGAATAATATTCTATGGAGTAGAAGTACCACAGTTTCTTTAACCATTCTTCTTTGGAGGCACATCTAGATTGTTTCCATGTCTTTGCTACTGTAGATTATGCTGCTGCTGCTGCAAATATAGGATTACAGATCCTCGTCTCATATGCAGATTTCATTTCTATTGGGTATATTCCTAGGAGTGGGATAGCTGGCTCATTGGGCAGATTTATTTGCAATTTTCCAACCACTGATTTCCACAGTGGTTTGTACTAGCCTACACTTCCACCAGCAGTGAAGGAGAGTACCTACTCCCACGTCCACGCCAGCAGGTATTGTCAGTTGAGTTCTGA